AAAATGTAGGCTGTGGGGAAAGTTACAAGTAAGTTTTTTTATGTGTAAATAATTTAATAAAAGTTTTTTTTCATTTTTATTAAAAATAGGCATTTAATTTAATAATTGAAAATTTATTCAGAAGTAGTCAAATAAATAATATGCTTTAATATAGAATTATGAAGTTTGTTAATACTTATATGCTACAGCTACTATTACTATTTTAATATTTTAACTTTTTTTGAACAAAATTATTTTGAAATAATATTGTAAAATTAATTTATTTTATTTATTAAAAACATAGACATAAAAAGAAATTATATATTCGAAATAAAAAAGTACTAGAAGTGAATACATATACGACTCTTAGAATAAGATAATATTTTAAATTAAAATATTAATGTACATTTATAAAATGTTTAACTTTTAAGCATTATAGAATAAATAGATTAAGTAAAATACGATGTACGAAACTTTTACAGGAGATATTTAGAAAAAAATTTTAATTTATTGAAATTTGTAAACGATGGGAGAGAGGAATGAATGCAAACTAACATTGTTGTCCTTATGACCAGGGACCTAGAGTTGTTTTAGCTTTTGAGTGTGCATCGAAAGCAGAAGTTCTGACTTAAGGTTGTTATGATAATTTAATGTGGATCAAGGATGGGTTATCGTGACACTCTATGAATTTCATACTCGAAAGAAACTTTGTTCACCGAGGCTTCTGATTTCATACAAATATAAGAGTAATAAGAGCATAAATTCAAAATCCATAATTCCATTTATTAATTTATTTGAAATACCTAATTTGCTTGTAAAAGAGACTAGAAATACTGTACATTCATTGAAGAATTATTTTATTATAATTGTTTATAAAATGCAGATTATATATATATATTAAATAGAATATTAAAATGCTATTGATTATTCACTTTTAGTATAATTTATTTATGGTATAACTTATAGTATAATTTTAGTATACTTTTCTGCAAAATAACAAAGCTTTATATTTTTATATTATTTGATATTTAACTAAACTTTGTTTTTTATAATAGACACAAGGATTGGGTACAGCTTTAAAAATTCTTTACTCAGACAAATTGAATCAAGCAACAGAAAGTGGTTTATGGAATAAACCACATATAGAAGCAGATCCCATCTTCAGGCTAAGACGATCGGAAATAGTTGCCCTGTTTAATGCAATTGGAAGGTAATATACATATGTTGTATTTTTTACACATAAGAAATAAAATATTTATAATATTTTCTTTGTTATATTGCAGACTCTCAACAAGTATCTTTGAAATGGACAATTTTAGGAAATTGTTAAGATAGCAGAAACATCCTGAGTTTTAATATAAATACTTCTACTTAATTTATGTCACTGTAATTATGTCATTTATTTTGATTATCGTAAAACGTGCGTGTGAGTTTTGTATGCAGTTTATTTTATTTGGTATTAGAACCAATGGTACCGCTTGGAAGCTCAACATCTATCAATAGGTTAGCTAAAATTAGATTAATGCATGTGTATATATATGCGTCTGTGTATGTATATTTTTTACTTATTTATATATTTATTTATTCATAATGCTCACTTTATATATTTTTTATGTGCAATAGTTTTTTCTTTTGAGATTATACATTATTATGGAAAATATTTTTGAAAAACTTTAATGCAATGATTGAACGAGTATTAATAAAAATTAATTGCAAAAACTTACGAAATTATAAATTTAATACGAATTGTTACTTAATAACTAATAAAATTTAATGTTTTAAAGAACATTCATAAAAGTGAAAAAGCTTGTACAAATTTATTCAAGATATTCGTGTATCTGGTGTGTATTAAAATATCTTGGCTTCACTCCTGTCGAATATATCCAAGCAGTAGATAAATTACTTCAGTACTAGCTGATATAAGGAAGCGAAATGCCAGTTTAATTAGTTGTAGCCGTGTTCTTGGTTTGGAGAAGTCTTTGTCTTTTCGTCGTTTTTTGAAAATAGAAAATAAGACTATTTAGGACTTCAGCAGCGGTGATATGATATTTAAAGCGTAATTTTCAATAGAATAGAATGCTGTTAACCAGTTTACTTGAGAAATGTTTTTACTTATGGCGTAAATTATCAATATTTTCATCCATTCATGGAAAATAAATCAAACTCTCAACTTTTTTTGTCTCCAAAATAATTGGTAAGTTTTAATATATTTCTTCCTTCTAAGTAACAAATATTATTTTTTGGTATAAATATCGAAATTATTAGGTTGCTGCTAAAGTTTATTTGGAAGTTAAAAGAATACTCAAAAATGATCGGGAAAGTCATTTAACAACTTTTAATAAAAAACCAAAATTAGGAAGAAATGGGTTCAATATTAAATAATTCCTTCCAGATCAACCCTGAATTACAATCTATGCGTGTAATTGGTATTATTAACATAGGAAACATTCAAAATCTTCAACTGACATATGTTTCCTTAGTAACATAACAATTATCAAAAAAAAAAAATTTTTTGTTTACTGTTTATGTCATTTAAACAAAACGTTATTTGCTATAAGAAGTAAAACGTCTTCATATTAATCTAAATATTTTCTGCAAAAGAGGACAATTTGGAGTCATTATAATATATTTTAATTCGTTGCCTTCTTGTGATAATTGTTTTAATTCGATATGGTTATTTTAAAAGTTAAACGTGGTGATGAACACCTTTTTCTATATGAAGCATGTATTACTACTGAGGCCGCATCAATTATAGGTGATATAACTGCCATTTATAATGGGCGTTTAAAAATATATCGTGTGTGCATGGAAATCGAAGAGTTAAGTGAGCACGGTCCGATGATACCAAATGAAATGATGGGTTTGACTGATGAGCAAATTGTTGAGCTAAAATTGGAAGATATATGGGCTGAAAAGTGTGTTCCTTCTGGTGGATTTTTATTTAATAAAGATCCAATGGGCCGTCGTAATGGACGTCAGCCAAATGAAAAAATGCAAGAAGTTTTAATGAATGCCGTAAAAGATGCAAAAGAACTTGTTGATAAGGTTTCTAAAACAACAAATTATATTTGTTTAACATTAAACAAGATGAAATAAAATATTTTCTTTTTGTATATAAATTTTAGAAATTAGTGCTGGCTTCGAAACCACTTACATTGAAAATTGTATCTGAGGCTTTAAATATATTGCGTGGTGCTGTTACTATTGTTTATCCAATGAAATTACCACCGAATGATATTATTCGAATGGAATTTAGTAACACTGAAGATCTCAGCGGAACACAAGCTTCAAAGGAAGTTATTGAGCCGTCGAAGGCTCAGTTGTGGTTTGCCGGACGACAAGTTTTGCCCGACAAGAAGTTAAGTGATTATATGGGTACTAATGATAAAACTAAGGTTAGTTTTTATATAAAAAATTGTTTTACTTATATGCTGTATATATAGTTCCTAATAATATTATTCTTACTATAGTATAGTATATATAGTATTATATATTGTATTTATTACTATAAAAATATAGTATATATAGTTCATAATAATATATGGATTTATATACATATATACTAATATGAATTTATTTTTTAACTTAATACAAAAAAAGTTAGTAATAATTTACCTAAACTTATCAAAACCTAGGTTGTTGTTAAACTTAACTCAATTGGTGAAGGTCCTCCAGGACGTGAACCGGTTCTTACCGAAGATATTCGCCGTAGAATGATGGCTGATGCTTATCGCAGACAAGAAGAACTCAAGGTAAGTGAAAGAAACATATATTAATGAGTTAAATAAATTATTAACTGAAAAATTTTACTGAAATATTTCTGTAAATTTTGTCCGTAATTTTTTAAACACCTTAATGGAATATCTAATAACCATTGCATCTTAGAAATGAAAAATATCGCATTTTTATCTAATGCATCTA